GAAAACTTATTTGAACAAATAATGAAGGAGAACTTCCCCAATCTGGCAAAGGAAATAGATTTCCTGGAAGTCCAGGAAGCTCAGAGAGTCCCAAAGAAGGTGGACCCAAGAAGGAACACACCAAGGCACATCATAATTACATTACCCGAGATGAAAGATAAGGAGAAAACCTTAAAAGCAGCAAGAGAAAAGGAGACAGTTACCTACAAAGGAGTTCCCATCAGACTGTCAGCTGATTTCTCAAAAGAGACCTTATAGGCACGAAGGGGCTGAAAAGAAGTATTCCAAGACATGAAAGGCAAGGACCTACATCCAAGATTGCTCTATCCAGCAAAGCTTTCATTTAGAATGGGAAGGCAGATAAAGCGCTTCTCAGATAAGGCCAAGTTAAAGGAGTTCGTCATCACCAAGCCCTTATTATATGAGATGTTAAAGGGACTTATCTTATCTAAGAAAAATAAGATTAAAAAAATATGAACAGTGAAAGGACAGCAAACTCACAGTTATTAACAACCACACTAAAACAAAAACAGAAACAAACTAAACAAACAACAAGAACAGGAACAGAACCACAGAAATAGAGATCAAATGGAGGATTAGCAACAGGGGAATGGGAGGAGGAGAGAGGGGGAAAAGGTACAGAGGATAAGCAGCATAGATGGTGGGTAGAAAATAGAAAGGGGGAGGGTAAGAATAGTATGAGAAATGTAGAATCTAAAGAACTTATAATTATGACACATGGACATGAACTAAAGGGGGAAATGTGGGTGGGAGGGGTGTGCAGGGTGGAGGGGAGTCAGGGGGGAAAATGGGACAACTGTAATAGCATAATCAATAAAATATATTTTTAAAAAAGAATCCTATATACTGGGAGGGCACAGAGACTTCTTTAGAGCTTGGCCGGCTCCGCTGAAGTGCAGTGCATGCAGAGAATAATCTTCAATGGCATCTGTGTACTTAACTGGGTAAGTATATCTGTAGACACTCTGATAAATTGCATTCTGTAGCGCTTAAGAGTTCAAAACTAAAAATTCAGCTATATTATTTTTCACTTAAGCATGTTGCTTTGCATTTCAGATAATTAAAGATCATGCTTTTTATAGAATAGCAATATTAATGATAGTTCTTATTTGTACTTAGATAGCTCTTATTATGCACCGTCACTACTCTGTTTTACATACTTTAACTTAATCTTCACAGCACTCTATGCAGCTGACACTATGATTGTCCTCATTTATAGATGAGGATCTAAGAGACAGAGAGGTCAAGTGTCTTGCCCAAGTTAGTGGCAGAGCAGGACTCAAATCCAGGCAGTATGACTCTAGAGTCCGCATTTTTGATACCCATATTCTATGTTTCCTGAGTTCATTTTTACGTTTCTTCGGGACAGGAACAAGCAGCTCTAGCACAATGCCCTGTATTGGACAAAGGGTTAACTCCCAGGCTGAGGGAGACCCAGCAGGGAAGCTCCGTTTGCAACCCTTCCCGGATGGTCATCAATCGGTCATCAATCGCTGTGACCTAAGCATTGTCTCTCAACAGGCTCCATAAAGGTACGTGCAAGAGACAGAAGAAATGGTACAGAACAGAAAACCAGAAAAGAGAGATCATCACCAACAATGTAGAACAAAAGCTTCTTTTGGTTCAGTCAGCAGGGACTCAGTAACTCCCCCCACATGCCTGGCCTTGAATTCAGTGAAGAGGGTTCAAAGACATAGGTTTACCGTCAAAATTTTAATACCTAGCACAAAAGCTCTCTGACAGAGGGTGGGAGTAAGACTGATGGAAAAGGCAGATTCCTAGGGCCAGATCCACAGAACACATTTGAAGAAACTCCTAGGAGAATATGCAGGCTAGGTGGTCAGATGAGGACAGATCGTTCCAGCCTGGGAGGACAGAACAAACGTTGATTCTGGCAAGAAAGAGCATGTCATGTCTGGGGAAGAGCACCGGAACGCCAGGGGCTCAGGGGCCCACTGCTGGGTCTCAAGTGGGTGCAGCAGCCCTCCCAGACAGGTGTGCCTGCAAATACTTCAGCCTTCAGAACCACTCCCAAACACAGGATGGCCATATGCCTGGTTTGCAAGGACAGTCCTGCTTTATTCCTGATTTCCCAGTGTCCCTTCTAGTTAGTGTCTCCTTTCATTCTCAAAAGCATCATGTTTGTGGTGATAAATTTCATGGTCGTCCTATGAAGCCCCACTTTACGCAGCCTGACATTGTTATTCTGCCCCCTGCCATCCCTGAATCCCATCTCTCCTCTTCAGAGGATTTAGTCTGACTTACACACATCGGCTTTACCCCCTACCCCATCAGTGGGGGCTTAAGCTGTGTCTAGAGTCTGTCTGATGAGAAAATCCCCAATTAAAAAAATACTGACCTGGCTTTCTAAGTGGTCTTAATCGCCAAACCAAATGGGCTGCCTATGTAATTTAATAACTACACACGGGCAGCATTTAAAAGTGCCCAGAAATGGACACCACCTTCCGGTGGTGTGTATTCCACTAGACACCTCCTAAAATGAGAGGTGCATACACGTTCCTCGGCGCTGCAGAGAGATGAGTGCTGCCTTTCGGTGCTCACAGGGCTGTTAGGTACGGACCACCGCTCTTACGTAATTAAAGTCTATGGTGTTAGATGAGCGTCTCAATAAACACACTTTCTACTACCTTTTACATGGAAATTTAAATGCTTATTTACATTTACTTTTGGATTTAAAATTGAACAGATGTCTTGAGGCTCTTCTGAGACTCAAAATGGCTTATATAAATCCTTCAGATCAAAACATTTTATGCCATTGCAAACTTTCTATTTAATTCTATTGCCAATTCAAAATATTGATGTGGTTTTATTTCAGGTCTACGTAAAGCAGATCCTGAGGGCATTGGCCCTGCCTGATGCATTTTAAGTACTTGAGATGCTTTTTCTCCTTTAAATGTCTTTGCAGGAACTATGCAAAAGGGTTTTCTGTAGAAATGAGGTGTCACTTAAAAGATTTTTAGAATTCTTTTAGAAAATTTGATATTAGAATTACTTCATCAAATTTGAATTATGTTTAGATGAAAAGCTAAACTTACAGCTTACCGCAGGAATGTTTGCCTGGGGTTTTCTTTTAATTTAAATTCAGCAAGTATTTTGAATACTAAACCACATTTGCAAACTAACCTATGTGTCACCTGAGGTGTTTGGTAGACTTTTGAAGTGTTCTTTGGGCTCCTACTATGTGCAAAACCCTGTGAAAGCTACTGAAGGAGATCAAATGCAATCTTAAAGGGATGCACAGAAGTAGCCTTTGAGACATTCCTTAAGTGATCACAGAATCTTAACAGGAAGATAAATGGGAGGGGGTGGAAAGAATAAAAAGCATTCTAGAAACCTGTACAATGACTTTGTTAACCAGTGTTGCCCTTATAAACCCAATAAAAAGGGGGAAATCCCTGGGATTTCCTTAAAGAAGAAAAATAACTCTAGGCATAAAGAACAGTTGAGGCAAAGGTGCATAGGAAGAGGTGTGAGAGGTAGAGAAACAAGGAAAGTATTTCCTGGGTTCGGTAGTGAGAGAGAAATTTAGAGGAGATACTGTCTCTTCATGGTGGGCAGTAAGTTTGCATCCTGTTTTGAAAGTTTCCAAGCAAATAAATGACATAAGTCGATCTCTGCTTGTAGATCTGAATGGGAGTTGGTAAAGGCTGGAGGCAGAGATCAGTGAGGAGGGCATTGCAATTGTTCAAGTAAAACAACAACAAAAATTAATGTAAGTGCAAGCTGGGATAGGAGCAGTGGGAAGAGAAAGGAGGGAGAGACTTTTTAAAAAATTATAGTTCAAATCCATAGGACTTGGCAACTGTTTATATGTAAGAAGCTGTGGGGAGTGGGTGTTCCAAGGTAGCACTGTGATTTTGAGTCTGGAGAGTGGGAAGGTGGTGGAACCATCAAGACAAACAGAGGCTGCGGATGCAGGTTGTCCTGGATATCCTGAATGAGGTGCCAGGGATAACCACAGGAGAAGTATAAATACATCTACACAACCTGTGAAATGTTCATAATTATAAATAATCATTTGTTGGGTGAGTGCAGAAAGGAGGGAAGGAGCTTTCCAAGAAGTAGGCTTGTGGCTCAGGAGGGAGGCTGTCTGGAGGGTTATAGGTGGGACACGGCATAGAAGCGGTAAGTGAATGAGCCGACCAAGGGCAATGCTGCAGAGGGGGACCAGAAGAGGGCTGAAGAGAGAGATCTCAGGTGTCATGTGCACTTAGGGCCCAAAAGAGAGTCAGAATGGAAACAGTTGGGGAGCAGAGTCCAGAACCTAGAGAGCAGAGTCGCCAAAATCTAAGGAGGCAGTAACTCTAAATCAAAAGGGACCAAGAAAGTCACTAGCATTGATACCTTGGAGAGTATTACGTGAATGAGTCATGTGCCGTGTTCTATGCTAGGGGCTTCACCTACCTTTCACTTCACACCCACCCTCAGAGGTAGCTACTGCTAATTCAGCTGTGAGAGGAGGTGCAGATCTGTTAAGGGACGTTCCCAGAGTCAACCGGCAAGTGGAAGGGCAGGGTCTCTAAAGCAGTGGGGCGTCACCCCGTGCCTGCTGGTCTCACACACTTGGTGGAGTGCTCCACGATGGTGGTGGGCGGAAGCCAGATCTCAGCGTTTGGGAAAGCGAAGGGGACAGGAACTTATTCTGTGCTCCCTGAGGGTCTAGAACTGCGCTCAACACTCTGTGTGGATGCACGAGACAGGTGGTGAGAGGCAAGAGGGTGGGCCAGCTAGAGAGAAGAACAGGATGGCTTCTACCTCAGGTAGGGGCTGTGGCCCTGGGCCCTGTGCTGGGACATGGCGCCACCTCACAACACAGAGCCTGCACCGAAGTGAGCTTCTTTAAACTGGGGTTTTCCGCTGTAACAGAACGTAGCGTCTTGCCAGTTTCTTACTTAACACATATGAAAAGTGCTATTTCCTACACTTAATATGTGTAAAAGTATTCACGCAGTACATACTTTTTTGGATCCCTTGTTTTTTTCTGATGAGAGCATGATATTTCCTTTCAAAATGATAGTGGCATTAAGCTCTGGATCATGGGAAACAAAAGGAAAACAGGCCATGAGAACATACGAGCCACGGAAACAGGCGCCACGCACCGGGGAGAATTCTACCCACAGCAGGGCAGATTTGGGGGACAGGAAGACAACTCACTTTGCCCTCCTGAGGGAAAAGAGCATTTCCACAGTAGCCTTTGTGGAACACGCTTAGGCCTCCCCTGGGAGCCGGGGAGGGGCCCTGACAGGGAGCCCCTCATGTTTACATGTCTCTGAGGCGACCCATTGCCAAGCCTGAGCTGGCTGCTCCGCGGGGCAGCCAATTGCAGTCTAGTCATTGCTCCTCCAAGCCATGCACATCTCTGAATGTCAGGATAGGGCAGGAGAATTTCTCCTTCTGTATCCAAAGAGGCACCCAAGGGAGGGAAGGCCAGACCTGTGCTAAAAGGCTTTAAAATCAGGAGAACTGCCAGGGCAGAAAAGGTTGTTGCTCAGCCCTTGCCTTTGGGCTGTGAAGAAGTGTTTTGATAAACTTAGAGCAACCATGTGCTCTTGCACATCAGTGAGCTTTTAATAGAGGGAATTTTAAATGAGCCCCCTGAGTCAAAAATATTTGGGAAGGTTGAAAAGAGGGTAGGTCACTAAAGCTATGTCCACCCACTGCCAAAGCAATGAGCAAAAATGAGAAATGTCCAGCCTCAGGTCTGGAACTGGCCCCTCCCACAACCACCCAACCCCGGGACAAGGTATTTCTGTGAAATGCTCCAGGCTGAGTCTCCACAGGAGCCTGTTAGTTCCACATCCACTGGTCCATTCCAATGGCACCAGGATCTATGAGGCTCCTCCAATGAGCGAATTCAAATGCCTGGTTCAAACCTGACCTGGAGAAGCAGACTTCCTACTTGTACCCACCACTGGCCCCGACATCGCCAAGTGCATTACAAGGGCAGGGCTGAACCAGAGTCTGCACCTCTGACTGGATTGCCCATGGTTGGCTAGTATCATGTGGACACAGCTTAAAAAGCAATGGCAAAGCTTACAAACCAAAGGACTGATTTTCTTCTTAGCCCTTGCCTAAATGCACCTTTGTAGGGGGCTATGTGGAGAGCTGTGTGCTTGGAATCTGGGCAGTTGGACTGAGACCATGGGCTTGACTTTGCAGCTTTGACCTGGGCTCTTCCCCTGGCACTGCATTTCATCAGAGGGCTGGTCTAGTCCTTTCAGCTCCTTTCCAGAGCAGGAGACAGAGGATCGATCCCCCAAGTCTGGGACAGGACTGTGAACACATCCCATACTCAGAAATGGTCCAAGTTGGCCCCTCGCCCGCAGGCACCCCCATGCTAACTGTCCTGCTCAGGGGCGGTGGGATCCATCCCCAAACCTTTTTGCCCTCCCTCTATGAGGCAAGCCACTCCAGACTCGGGGAGGAAGCTTTTAGCACTTATGCTACCTTTCAGGCCAGGCACTGGGGGTACTCTATCAGGCACTGATATTGTCAGCTGAACTATTAATTTGGAATATATGAAACTGCCTTTTTTTGTAGATCAAACATGGTCAAAAATGTAATGTATTTATCCTCACAATAGAAATTGTGAGGAAAGGAAAAAGGTATGTGGTGGAAAGAGCATAATTATGAGAGCCAGATCTGGGTTCAAATGTTAGTTCTGTATCACTTTTGTTCAACAACATACACTGAGTTCCTGCCATGGGCCTGGTCCTGCACCAGCAGCTGGACATGCAGCGGTGACGATGACAGACGGGCCTTGCTCTCCATGGCACGTTCTAATGGGTACTGAGCTTCTGGGGCCACTTCCCGGCTCTGTGATGTTGGCCCGCTACTCGGCCTGCCTGAACTTCAGCTAAGTGTTGTCGGGGTCAAATGAGATCATGCAAGTTAGGCCAGAAATACATTGGTGGCCTTCAATAAATGGTACTTGCTGTAATTTTCCTGCAGCTCATAGAGAACGCCTAATAAATATTTACTGAATGAGGAGGCTTGGAATGTACTGTGGGACTCTTTAAGTCCACCCCCTAAGAATCTGAACTAGACACCACTATAAGGGGAAGCCCTTGGGCCCCAGAAACCACGGCTCCCCACCACCTGGGGGCTGCGAGAAAGCAGCTGTAGTCAGCTCCCCTTAACTCGGGAGGTCACTAGACACGGGAAGGTGCAGTCTGGTTCACCTTTTTTAATGGATGTGAAATCATTTAATTCAAGGAGAATATCAAATTTAGTGATTGAGGCCAAGCGGAGGTTGAGACCTCAAAGGAGACTCAGAAATTACCTGTAGGAACTTCTGGCTTTAGAAATCAAACACAGATTTGGCCCTGGTTAGTAAGAAGACATGCAAACTGACCAGTCCTTTCCCCAACTTGCCACCCAGTTGGGTCACTGGTGTGAATATACACGTGATGTTAAGCATTCCTTTTGTAACTTAGGGTCCTATTTCTAGGCTTTGCATGCAAACAGGCCATGTGGCTATCTCACAAGTCACCCTGCACACCATTTAAAGCAACATGAGTCATGTTGGACAAGTGTTAATAAGTGCGAAGTTGCTACTGAGCAGCACAGCTTCTGACGGTACCTTTACTGTCTTCATAGCCCTGAGCTCCGTCCTGCTTTCCAGGTCCATTCTTCACAGGTGACGCACAGGGAGGCGAGACCAACAACTGTATTAACTTGTTTTCATACAGCTTTCTGGTGGAAGCTGAGGAGGAATGTAGAGAATAGAATAGCTGTTCTGTTGGAGTGTGAGATCTTAATGGGTTCAAGGCATTTCACAGTTCAAATCTTTCTTTTTGTAGCTTACATTATAATGGTTTTTACAATGAAGTGGACCCCACAGCTACTCAACCCACTCTACCTCTTCCCCAAACACTTAAGGCGAGTCCTCCCCGAGCCAGCCACGGTGTCAGGCATCGGACACGTCTGAAGACAAGACTGACAAAGTTGTAGTCCGGTGTCTGGGGAATATGGACAATAAATGCACAAATAGTTAACACATTGCACATACTGGAAATGAAAAACCCAGGGTGCCCTGACCAGGGTAGCTTAGTGGGTCAGGCGTCCTGCCGTAAAGCAAACAAACGGTGCTGCTTCGACCCCCCGTCAGGGCATGAGCCTGGGCTGTGGGTGTGGTTGCAGGTGCTCATGTGAGAAGCAGCCGGTCAGTTTTTCTCACATCACATTGACGTTTCTCTCTCTCTCTTTCCCTTCCCTCTCTCTAAAAATAAATCAATCCTGTAACAAAGAAAAACAACCCAGGGTGATTTAATCAAGAGTAACTGGTTTTTCACTGTGGGGAAGAAAAAGATGTTTTCTGTCTGGCAGCACACTGACTCATCTGTGAGGAGGGTCTGAGTGTGTGCATTGCCCCTTCCCTTCCTTATGGTTTTTCTTATTTCCAAAATATTTTGATGATTTCTACTACATATATTTCTTCCACTCTACATAATTGTAAATATTTGGAGGTGGTTTATAAGTAATAGTTGCTGCATACATACATAGTATCGGGCCAGGTGAAAATCCAAGCTTATCAAGTTCATTCTGTAATTCATCGTTACTCAGACACTTCACGTCCACCATGGTGATAGAAGTTTGGTCTCGTTTCTGATCATGGAATCTTTGAGACAGTAAAACATCAAATTCATCAAGATGGACTTACAAATGAGAACTGAAACCTTACCGGTCCAAGGCAGTGTGTACGAGCTGACCTACCCGGTCGTGGAAATGCAAAGACAATAGAGGAAGAAATCACCATTTTTTGCCATTTCCTGCCACAGTCTATTCCAGGTTTAGTTGCCTTCATGCAGAGTTTTGGATGCATGATACTTTCCCCCATGTTTGGATTCAATTATTTCTAACTTTTCTATTCAACGAATGTAAGAAAAATCTTCTGCACAAAATGAACAAATGAACACATATTTCTATTACTGCTTAGGAGCTCTGAGTAAGACTCAAGCTCTGAGAAGATAAAAAGTTAATTAAATATATAAGAGCTGGGAGAGATGCTTAGTGAGTTAAATAACAGTTATTTATCCCTGCCCTCCTTTTGATGGGAGCACAGAGAGTGAAGAGCATTCAAACATGCAAATAGGAGCAGTTTTCACACTCACAATTGAACTCTGAACACGACTGCAGTTTTTAATTAACCGCCAGAAGACTTTGTAATTGTTGAACTGGCATTTGAAACAAAGTCAGCTGGTCCTTCTCCAGCACACAAACCGATGCATACAGACACGTCTCAACGTGGCTTCCCAAACTGGCCCGGCCTCACGTCAGTCGGTCTTACTCAGTTGGTCCCTCTGTCCCCCGAAACTGACCCCTCCACCTGCTTAAGAAAATCCGTCAAAATACAGGCCCATTTGTCAAACCTTTTAACAGAGATTTTTTAATTTAGGGATTTATTTATTGAACCTCATTTCTACCATGTTCCCAGGCTTTTTAATATCACAGTGAAAATGTCTGCAAGACAGTTACTCAGCATTGGAGGATCTGGACCAATTGTAAGTAATGACTTTGGCTTTATGGGTGATCAGTCAACGTCCAGTTAGGAAGAACACTGTACACCAGCTAGAAGGACCTGTGAATTGTCTTGTACACCAAGGTTGTTCAAGAACTCCTAGCATAATAGTCTCCACTTTTAAAGCTGTGCTTTGGCCAGCGTCATGTTTTGACACACAGTAGGTGCTTAGTAAATGTGTTTCCCTCTTTTCTCCAATAATTTGAGAAGCTGAATTAACCCTTTCAGGTCCTCGGTAAACAAACTAACACTAGAAAGGAAAAGGACAATTCAGTTTCTTTTGTTTTTAAACCGGAAGCCAGCTTAGGCAGACCCTGTGGCATTTTTTCCAGAGAACAGCTGTCCACTGTTTCACTGCCTTCCCAAGAATAACCTCCAAAAGAGCCCTCATCAATTTCGGGTGACACTAGACAATTGCCTAGAGGGAGCGCACATATGGAAGAAAAACAGTCCAATGGAATCCAACTGGGTGATGAATCCACTTACCCCTTTACATGGTTGTCTAAAGTCTATGCAGCTGGGCTGGTTACTAAAGGTGGATGAGTTTTACCCAAGGGTCCCTGCTAGCCACCAGTCCCTTTTTGCCTGTTAGATATTATGATAATCATAATACTGACAGTGTGACATCAGTAACCCCCCTAGCAACAGGCTGATGTGAAAGTCAGGGGATTAATTTAACCTGAGTCAAGGAGAAGGAGGCACTGGTTGACTCCATAGGCTGACGGTGGTGGTAAAATGTCAAGGGAGGCAGAGAAGTTATCTTTATACACAAGAGTGAGGAGAAGGAGCTGCTACCAAGCCAAATGGTGCCAAGAGACTGGGAAGATAAAGGAGGAATCAAACTGGGAGGATGAGGAGAGCAAAGGTCTCATCCTGATGTGGGCCATCAGGACGAGACCCACACCAGCAGAGGGGCAGTTTGGCCATGGCCTCTACAGAAAATGAGAACGCGAAAGCAACCGATATTAACTTGTTAAGTAATTGCTCATTTAAAAATAAGAATCAGGATAGAGTACACAAAAAAAAGGCTGAAAGGTTTCAGCCTTTTCAAAGCACTTTCACATGTCATTTCATCCCCACGCCCCAGCAGGAACTCTGGGACAGATGTCCTCTATAATGCAGAAGGCCAGCTTTCGTGGTTGCTTTATTTTATTTAAGGAAAGATCCCTTAGACTATGAGCTTGAGTCCATTGAGACAGTCAGGCAAGACAAATCATGCTGAAACAATTATGCAAGACAAAAATGTAACTTTTGGAAAACGTGCACTGTAATTAAATACCAGGGACGTGAAGGAGTCACCTGAAGGGGATTAAGGGGACAGTGGACCCAGCCTCACTGGTCAGCTCCCAGCCTGTCCTTCCCAGCTGGGTGGTGTCAGGTGGGAAAGTTACTAAACTCCATCTTTTCTCCGTCTGTAATGGGGATGACAATAGTACCTACCTCACGGGGCTGTTCTGAGCATGTTACGAGTTATAGCGCAGCAGGCACTATATGAATGTTTCCCATTGTTCTGATTATCCACGTGCCCTATCCTCAGAGAGTTTCCACACCCACTCTCTTCCTCGGGTGGCTCCATTCTGTTTACACTCGCCCAGGGGGCCCTTTCACTTCACCACTTCACCCAGTCCGGTGCTGGGAACGGACTGAGCCCCTTTGGGTGCATGGTCAGGGAGGCTCATTAAATGACCCCAAGCTGTGGTTCCGTGGTAGGCAGTTAGAAGACATGAGCAGAACGAGGATGATGGACCAGGGATAGGTCACCAGGGTGGAAAACCCCATGTGCCTAGAAATGGGCAAAACTGGGAAAATCAGGACCTCGTCCCCAGGATACCCCCTCCTCCCCTAGCACACACCGGTCACTGGCCCTGTGGTTTAGCCCCCGCCCCCTTTCATATCACTGAGCGCACAGTTCAGAACCCTTCCCAGACCTTTCCTCCCCTGCCGTGTTGTTGGTCACGCCTTAGACCCCCTTGGAGGAGGAACAAAGAGCTGATGAGTGGCCTCATTTGACCCCCTGGCGGGCCCTGCCTGCCACTGCCTGAGCATTAAGTCCCACGGATAAATTCTGGGCCTCATCTGTGTGTCAGCCCCAGGCCTGGAAAACTGCAAAACCAGACGAGCAATGCTGTGGCTCAGGCGTGTCAAACTCATTTTCCCCAGGGGCCACATCAGTCTCGTGGTTGCCTTTGAAGGGCCGAATGTAATTTCAACTCCTTAACAGTTAAGGAGTAGTGACATTTACACAGTCCTAAAATTATTTCAGCCCTTTGAAGGCAACCTAGAGGCTGGTGGGGCCCTTGGTGAAAATGAGTTTGACACCCCATTGCATGGCTGATGTCAGGACCCGCTGAACTGACTAATTACCACCCTGGTGCCCATCAATCAGTGGAGACCGTGACCTCGTAAGGACGCACCTGGAAAGCTGATGAATATTCTATTGGGATCCTCCTCAGAGACCTCCAGATAAACACCCTCAAGATGGAGAGCCTGGCTCCCCCTCCCTCTCGAGAGCTGCCTGCGCCCTGCCGGAACCCCTCTTCTTCCTCCCGACACATCACCTTCACCCTTCTCTCTCCTCAGCTTCCAGGGCCCTTCCACCTCTGTAACTCATTTCTTGAGCCCACTTCTTCTACGACTCGCTTCTACCTCTGTGACTTTCTAAATAAATTTTCTCTTAGCGTTTGGGTCTTGGCTCTGAATTCTTTCTTAGCCAGAACTCAAGTACTGAGGTTGCTGAACCGAGGCTGGTCTGATCCTGCCCCTCTGATGCCTGGTGCCCTGTAGGCCACCGACCGTTCCGAGAGTTGTGGCTCAGTTTCCAAACAAACATGCAATACGCATGTTTGCCAACATCCAAATGTTGGATGCGCCAGACAAAGATTGAAAATTGACACATTTGTTTCAATCAAAGTAAATAAATGATAGGGTTGGGTTATTAAGATGCACAAGCATTTTGTTTACATTTCCCAGAATTGCTTTACACAAAAAAGCAGACAGCAGGTGGAACCACTTCCATTTAAGCATTTAAACTATTGGCATGAAACAAGCATTTCTAAATTTTTTTTTGGTGAGCCCTCTGGGGATTAAAACAGGCTGGTCTGGTTGGTTTGAGCTTCATATTTTGTGCAGACTGTTCTGAGGTTATTCTCTCGAACATTCCACCAGCATGTATCCATGATTCTACACTCAACATTATTCTGTTTTAAAATTCTGCTACTCTGCACTATCCTGAAATATTGGGTTTTGATGTTTACAGCACCCATTTCCCTTGGTCTCATCTGTGAAGTCTTGGGCATTGGCTTGTTTTTAGTTTTTTATTTCTTCCATGGCTGCAAAGATATTTTATTCCAGTTCTTGAGGGAAGTAAGTTTTAATTGCCAATCGACTAGGTATTCAACATGATAAGGTGTCTAAACCCTGAGAGCTTCCTCCTTGCATTAAAATGTAGATCCAATTTCTTTCCCCTTAATGCCACATGCTGTTATTAAACTGAAATAACAGAAATAGCAAAAGCCAGATGTCACTTCAGTCTCAGGTTTGACATGGGGCACAATTTCCTCTCCTCAAGTTTAATCTGCAGTTATTTACTAACCCCATCCTTTGGAAGAATGCACAATTTAAATGTAAATGCAATTTACATAGGAGAGCAGATAGTAGATTTGCAGTTTTCAATTGCCAATGAACCATTTGCAAAGGGGGAAATCAACTAAAGCAAAGATCAGCAGCTGTCAGGCTGAAGTTCCTCCCGAATCCACCTGCCTCTGAGCCTCAGCTAGGCAGGCAAAAGAAAGTGGAGGGCTGAGGCATTTCCCCAGATATTTCAAGGTGCACTGACTATTCACTTGGGGAGAAAAGAGAAAGTTTGGGTTTCAAAGAGCGAATCTGGTTGGCACCATTGTTGAAATCATTAACTGACCAATTTCTTCCAACAAATATTGATTGATCATCTCCTGTAGAGCAGACATCATACTTGCTGTAAATTAGGAAGAGGTAGAAGAGAATGCAAAGATGCAAAAGCTACGGTCCTTTCAAGGAGCTCATTGTTTCCTTAAAGAGAAAAGAA